GGAGGAGGGCGGGGGGTGGGGGTGAATGGGTGACGGGCACGGAGGAGGACACTTGACGGGATGAGCACTGGGTGTTATTCTGTATGTTGGTAAATTGAACACCAATAAAAATTAATTTATTTAAAAAAATTAAAAAAAAACAAAAAATAGAAAAAAAAATGGGCAAGGGATGGATATTTTTCAAAGAAGACATACAGATGGCCAGCAGGTATATGAAAAATGTGGTCATCATCACAATCATTGGAGAAAAACAAATCAGAACCACAAAAAGATATCATGGACATGTCAAAACAACTATTTTCAAAAGACAAGAAATAACAAGTGTTGGTGAGGATATGGAGAAAAGGAAAACCTGTATTCTGTTGCTGGAAATGTAAGTTGGTACAGCCACTTTGAAGAACAGCATGGAGGTTCCTCACAAAATTAAAAACAGAACAGCCAATTCCACTTTTGGGTATTTATCTGAAGGCAACAAAACCACTACATCATAAAAGTATCTACACCCCTATGTACATGGCAGCATTATTTACAAAAGCCAAGTGAGAGAAACAACTCAATATCCATCAATGGATAAATGGATAAAGGAAATGTGGTATATATACGCAATGGAATATTACTCAGCCATAAAAAGAAAGAAATCTTTAAAAAAAAGAGTGGATAAAAAAATATGTGTTTATGTAAAAACATATACCCACAAAGGAATATCATACAGCCAAAGAAAAGGATGAGATTTTACCATTTATGACAACATGGATAGACCTACAGAGTACTATGCTCAGAGAAATAAGTCAGAGAAAGACAAATCCCACCTGATTTCACTCCTGCATGCTATCTAAAAAATAAAACAAATGAATAAAGAACCAAAAAAACCCAAAATCAGACCTATAAAATACACAGAACAAAGTGATGGTTGCCAGAGGGAAGTGGGGTGGAAGGACAGGCAAACAAGTGAAGGGTAGAGGGAGAGAGCCCCTGGGTGGCTCAGTGGTTGAGTGTCTGCTTTTGGCTCGAGTCATGATCCTGGGGTCCTGGGATCGAGTCCCACATTGGGCTCCCTGCAGGGAGCCTGCTTCTCCCTCTGCCTATGTTTCTGCCTCTCTCTGTGTGTCTCATGAATAAATAAATACAATCTTAATTTAAAAAAAAAAAAAGAAGAGGGAGAGCCAGGCTTCCAGTTATAGAATGAATCAGTCATGGGAATAAAAGGCACAGCTTAGGGGATGTAGCCAGTGGTACTGAAACAGTGTTGTGTGGTGGCAGCTGGTAGCTACACTTGTGGTGAGCACAGCATAACATGCACAGAAGTTGAATCACTATGTGAATCACACCTGAAACTAATGCAACACCGTATGTCAACTATACTCAAATTTTTTGAAAATTTAAATAAAAAAAATCATGTAGACACACACATGCACACACACTACAAACCTATATACACATACCAATGTACAAACAGACACATGCATACTAAATCCATTTCATTTCTCTGGGCATTTTTTCATTAACATTTTAATTTCTCTAAATCAAATGCAATTAAACAAAAGATTAGGCAAGAACAGTAACCCTGAAAGATAAATAAACGTAAAACTTTAATCATTTTTAGGAAGAGGTGAAAACATCATCAAGAAATCATAGATATCTCAGGCCTAATAATATTTTCCTTATGGAAAATTTTCCAACCATTCTTTTCTTTTTTCCCCCCCACCCAGACTCTAACGCCATTCCCTATTTTTTCTATTTTGGTTCTTCCTGCCTGATGACATAATCTGTCTTCTGAACATAGAACCTGGTCACTCAAAGTGTGCTCTGCAGACCAGCAGTTTCTACACAGTCTGAGTCTAGAAGAAATGCATCATCATTGGCAGGATGAGGCAGGGGTAGGTGGAAATGGGAGGATGGAGCTTTACTCTCCAGAGAGCTACTCCAGCTCCTGAAGGAATCTTTTGTTAAATACAGGTTAAGTATTTGCATAAAATCACCCATTTCTGCCTTCTAGGAAAATGCCCTACCAAAAATTAAACTAAAATTATAACCAATTCATGTGTTTCAATTCCTTCTGGTAACTGGAAACAGTTAACAAGGGTGACTATGCTATGTGTCTAGCAGCAAAACCTAATTGAAAAAAGATTATAAAAGCAGAACCAAGAATCATGTGTTCCCTCTTCCTTCTCTGTTCACAAGAGTGCCTCACTGGTGCCAGCTGTTGAGGGTAGAGAAGATTGCCTGGAGGCATCTCCAAGAACAAGGAAGTAAGGGAACTTGACTGTCCTCTGGGGTAAAGCTATGAAATCAAGACATCCTAGTGGAGAGATGCAAAATACCTGTAGAGACTATCCAGGCCTCTGAGACCAGACAGTGAGCTGATTAAATATATTAACATATCTAAAGAAAAAAATGTTTCAATCTCCAGGGGCAGTTGGTCAGACGTGAATGCTTAGAAGAATTTTAGAGGCAAATGCTAGCGATAGCCCTCCAAGCAGTCAGAAGGATGTCTTGCCACCTATCCAGTGTGAGATAAAGGCCAAGTTACTTTTACCATCATAATATTCAGGCATGATGGGGTCATGGAATTGCCCAGCATACTGAGATGGACCACAGTACTGAATGAAATGACAGAGGTGTTGGGTTCTGGAAGGCTGGGACAGTGAAGCACTAAACACCAACTAACCCCACTTGGATCCATGCTCCTCACACCAGCTTGCCAGTAAAGTCTAGCTTCCCATGTTCAGGTCTCCCAGGAAAGAAGGTATGACCAAAATATAGCCCAAGCATCTCTGCAGGCTCTGTCTCACTTAATGAAATAGCATCCTGACTTTATATATGATTTCTGTCATATGGGCAATAGAAATGAACGGAGATAGAACCACTCCCTTATTGTACTGACGATCATACTTGTAAGTTTGAGTCCTAGCAATGGGCACCAAGATAATGTCACCCTGAAGCCTCTCTGGGAAGTGGCCAGCCCAGACATCCAAGGTCCACCCTCACTCTTCTCCTGTGTGCACTCAGTGCTTTCCTTGGAAAATTCTCATCAGCCTGGGCCACAGAGATCATCAGTTCATGATTATTCTCCAAGATGTTTGATTATAAACATGTAATTTTTCTTGTTCGGCATCCTTATTAATCAAAGACATGCATATTAAGAAAAAAATTAGCAAAGGGAAAGTTGGCACTGGGTACAAGCAAAAAAGCATTCTCATATACTGCAGGTGGGAGCATAAACTGGAAACACACCAAACATCTGAAAAAATATGTGTCTACCTCTGACCCAGCAATTTTACTTCTAGGAATATCAATTAAGGGTATGAACAAAGATTTAATCACAATGATATATTCTAGAGCAGTTCATAATAGGTAAAACATGGAAATCATGTAAATATTCAACAGTTCAAATCTGTTAAATATCTATAATGGAATAACATACTGACATTTGCAATATGTCACAAAAGTACATTTGCTGAATGGGAAAGATATTCATGATATATTTTTCTTTTTCTTTTCTCTTCTCTTCTTTTCTTATGTTACAGTTCCTAATTATTTTTTCAAAGAACATTTATTATCACATATCGCCCTGTTTCTAAATCAAAGTTGAGGAACTTCCCCTGCTCCCATAAAGAATAGAATCCAGGGTGCTGAGTGGCTCTGTCAGTTAAGTGGCTGACTCTTGATTTTGGCTCCAGTCATGATCTCAGGTTCCTGGAATGTAGCCCCAAGTCAAGCCCTGCATTGATGCTCAGGAGGGAGGCTGCTTGAGGAATCTCTCCCTCTGCCTCTCCCTGCTCCTGTTCTGTCTCTCTCTCCCTCTCTCAAACAAATAAATCTTTTTTTTTAAAAAAAAAAAAAGAAAGAATAGAATAGAATTCAGTCACTGAAAGGAAGATGACACATATATTCACTTAAGTCCTCTCTCCACTTGAGCTCAAAGGAGCCTCAGAGAGGTAAAAAGGGCTTATCAGAGGTCACCCAGTGTTATCACCCAGCCTGGCGGATACTTAAGCCACGATATGTCCAATCATTCCTAATGCCTTCAGTTTAGAGCAGAATCTTGTCTCTCTTGATACTACTCAACACCAGGGTCTCAGCTCAGAAAGCATTGGTGGCCCTCTAGCTGTGTATAGAGCCAAAATATCTGAATACAACCTCTTTTAATGATCTCTCTACTTCCTAAACACAGGAGTAAGAAACTTCAATTGCAAACTTCATCACACATGATATTCCAGGATTTTCTGAAGTCTATCATAAAATACCAAATTTCCCTTGAGACATTTCAGGATGAATCGGTGAGATGGGGAGGGGAGACAAAAAATGACAAACAAGGTCTACTTTGTGACCCAGACTTAGAGTCATTTCTTAGTGCGAAAGCTCCTCTACTTTTTGTAAGCCTCATCATTCTCTGCACCAGAAAAGAACACACGAGCCTCTCAGAAGCTGACATGGGGGGATCCCTGGGTGGCGCAGCGGTTTGGCGCCTGCCTTTGGCCCAGGCCGCGATCCTGGAGACCCGGGATCGAATCCCACGTCAGGCTCCCGGTGCATGGAGCCTGCTTCTCCCTCTGCCTGTGTCTCTGCCTCTCTCTCTCTCTCTGTGACTATCATAAATAAATAAAAATTAAAAAAAAAAAGAAGCTGACATGGGACTCCAGTCAGCTGCTACGAAAAGTCATGTCTCTGTGACCTAAGTCTAGTGACTCCTTGACCAATTTCCAAAGAGACATTTATTGCAAAAACTGTGATTAACACTGCTATATCCGGCCTTGAATCATCCTTCTATAACATCGGTTTTTTCCTCCTCAAGTGACATTCATTTGGACATTTTTGATAGGTCAGAGGGACAGAGCAATGTTTCCCTCATTCCACAGACCAGAAAAGCAGCATCCAAGAGTAAAAGAGAATGGTCCATGCTGCCCCATCTCCTGGGCTTCCATCTCAGCTGCCATTCACACACGCAAACCAGCACTGGTAAATACAAGCAATGCTCAAAGGGATAAAAGTTTACTTACGGACACACATTTCCCTGCTTTCATAAAATCCAGGACAACACTGGGATTTGCGCCTATACATAGTTTTCTCCCCATGTCGATAGGCAGTCCGATAACTGATTCTACATGGAAGGAAAAATCACATTGTTACTTCTTTTGACCAGCAATTCTATTAGAAATAAAAAATTCATATTGTGATACAAAAGAGCTAGTAAATATAATAAAGGTATGAAAAGCAAAGTACTCTAAAATAGTTAAGAAAGAACATGGATTATAGGTCTTGACCAATAATATGCTAACTTTTATCAATTTGCTAAGAATATATTAAAATAGCCCATTTTAGCTAACCTATACTTTATTTGAAGGGATCAGAAGTTTTATGATTTTCCTAGTTCACTTATCTTGAGATACCTGGGAAAGTATCAATTAATTTCAGATATGATACTATCTAATTATCATTCACTTACATATGCTTTATAAGAAGAATTCAGAGAATTCCTTGAAAAATTTATAACAATGCAGTCTCATCCCACTATAACATAGGTTATAGAGAAATAACTCTTATTTAACTAAAGCTTCATTCATTCACTAATTTATTTATACAACACATGTTTACTGAGCACTTACTATATTCCAGGCACTGTTCTAGGCACTGGGGAAATAGCTCACAGTAAGAAAAATGATATAAAGCCCTGCCCTCAAGGAACTGATATTCTACTGGGGAAGACAGACCTATAGAATTTAAGTACAGATACACATTAAATGAATAAATATGTCTTATATTGACTGATAATGATTATATAGTGTGATGAAAAATAAGGCCTGAGTAACGGAAGAGAGTGTGATAAGAAGGGAGTACTTGCTTAGATAGAGTGGACAAGAAAAGCCTGTCTGATGAAATAACTTTGAGTATAATATTTAGTGCGGCATAAAACAACAAGCGTCACATTAAACTCATAACTCAAACTACAGTCAGTATTTTTACAAATAAAAATAAGGTATCATGGTTCCCTTCCCTATTAACACTAATATTTGAATGTTTTTCTTTTCCTGTTTTCACGTTTGTAGAAAAATATACGTGGCTTAATTTGAGGTCAAAAAATTTTTTTAAAGATTTTATTTATTTATTCATGAGAGACACAGAAAGAGAGAGAGAGACAGGCAGAGACACAGAGGGAGAAGCAGGCTCCATGCAGGGAGCCTGATGTGGGACTTGATCCCAGGACTCCAGGATCACACCCTGGGCCAAGGGCAGGCGCTAAACCACTGAACCACCCAGGGATTCCCCAGTTGAGGTCAAATTTAAGTTAGCCTAGGAGCACCCAGGTGGCTCAGTCGGTTAAGCATTGAACCCTTGATTTCAGCTCAGGTCATGATCCAGGGTCGTGGGATTGAGCTCCAAGTCAGGCTCTGCACAGGGCATGAAGCTTCCTTAAGATTCTCTCTCTATGTCTCCCCTTGCCCTCTGTCATCCCCACCCTCTACCCCCCATGCACATGTGTGCACTCTCTCTTTCTCTGTCTAAAAAACCAAAAAAATTCAGTCTAAATTGAGTCAGGTATTTAAGTAGAAGCATATGTTGGAATATGAGTCTCTTGATACCTAGTGATGTCCATATTCAAGAGTGTCTCCCCCATTTAAGCACCATACAAAAGCTGCACAAATTCTTGCTAACCAAATGATGGAAACCAGTAGGCACTTTCTCTGTACACTCCTCGAGGGTACAAACAGTCATTTTGCTTTTCTGTATCTCCTATGGTTCAGAACACGGCTAAGAGAATAGCAAGCATTCAATAGCTATTCACTAGATGAATGGATACATCTTCTCAAATATTTAATGTCTCTGCATTAAAGTACTTCACAGCTACCCAAACTCATAAATATATCTGATCTTCAATTACCTGTGCCGTGTACATTTAAACCAGTTCAGAATGTCAGTGCAGCTGGTGTAGTAGATTTGATCGAAAGGATGTGGGTATGACTCTTGCACAGTCACTGAGTAGCTGAAAAAGAAGAAGGATAAGGAATCAATATTTTGCATTCTCACATTCATGATATACTGTTCACATAAAAAAATCAGGCTAAATTCTCTCCTTTTGCAACTTCATGCTGACTTTTAATAGAGAATCTCTATGTGTTTGTAGGTTTTTATTTGACCTAGAATGTCAAAAGGGCCAATATTAATAATACATTTAAAAGATAAGAGTTCATGCTCTAAATTTCATAAAAGAATTCTTTTTACTATTCACCATAAACTGATAATCCCAAATTTACAAACATGATTACCATATATTTTTCTTTTCTTTCTTTTAAAGATTTTATTTATTTATTCATGAGAGACACAGAGAGAGAGAGAGAGGCAGAGACATAGGCAGAGGGAGAAGCAGGCTCCCTGCAGGGAGCCCAAGGCTGGACAAAATTCCACGACCCCAGATTCATGACCTGACCCAAAGACATAAGCTCAACCACTGAGCTGCCCAGGCATCCCACCATATATTTTTCTGTATTTAATTCCATCCCCTTATCCCACATGTCCAGGGTTAACCCAGACCTTTCACAAAAAGTTTTCAATCTAAGTCTGCATGCAAATAATAAGCACAGAGACAATGTGAATATGGATAAGAGTACATTTTGGTACTGATTCTGGAAAATCAGAAAGAACATATTTCTCAGGTTGGAACTTGAATTAATTTGGTTTCCTGTGTGCCTGCCCTACTTCTCAGGCATTGGGAGAATATATATAACCTCTAAATAAAAATTACAAAGTCTCTAAACCAGGTTCTAAACATACCCCTGAAACAATTAGCCTGAAATATACATATCCACAGCCTGCTGCTCTTAGCATGGTCTCCAATACATTTTCTCTAACAGCTTCTTGTGAAAGTAAAAACATGCAATCCTAAGGGCCTGAGAATGTAGGTGGAAAGCATCCATAAAACATAAAGAGCATTCAATGTTCAATGTCATAATTCTTCATTTTAAAGCAGCCCATTATATGCTCAAGAGCTTAGAGTTCTTGACTACAGGAAAACCTGGAGAATCTTCTTGGCCAAACAAGTTAATCCTCTTCTCTTCAACAGTCTCAAAGATTTTCACTAAAATCTTTAATTCACACCAGCAAATGAAAAGGGCCACAATTATGGACTCACTTGCAGCAAATCAATAGACCAACTTCATTATTAGGAACTATCGACTAGAGAAGCTACAGAAGGAATGAGGCTGAAACGTCAGCATGAAGAATTCAGGTTACATATAGGGTAAAACCTTCTCATTTGAAAAGTTTTGTGGTGCTGGGCTCCCCAACAGTGGGATTTCTTTCTCCAAGTAGCCTCTATTAGCTATTATGCACTTGGGCTTCAGTAGGAAACCCATAAAATAATCCTACTGCTCACATTTTTGTGTATTTCATTCTTTGGGTCATTGCAACTTGATTTCTAGGTAAATTTAGGGATCTTCCACAAATCTTAGGAAGATGCAATAGGCCCTACTGAAAAGATCACTGGACTAGCGCAAGATAGGGTTACCCTGATCTGACACTGAGAAAACAAGACAGCCATTAGCAGATAACCTTGCTTCCCTGGGTTTCGAGTATCACATTTTAAAACCAGAGGATTGTAGATGGTCTTGAAGATTGCTTCCTACTTGGCATTCTGAATTTCTAACATACATTTTAGGGGACTATTTCCTTCTCTACTATATGCCACCTGAGGCTCCCTGCAAAAACAGGTTCAGATGAGCATACAATATGCAAATGTGTGCTCTTTGATACATTTGATACATTTGATATTACACCTGTGATATAACTCCTAGAGGGGAAAAGAGGCCTCTGTAAAAATATAAAGGTTCTTGGAATAAAATATCACAGTAAGCTATTAATGTCTTCTGACCTCTAACACTGTCCTGAGGTTCAGGTTAGTGTAAATTCTATGACTTCCTCGCCATTTTTTTCCTGCCTATTCAAGCTGCTGTAAATAACCAAACTTTGAGGTTATTTCTTTACTCCATGTTCAGTGGAGAGCAAAGCAAATGAATGTCCTCTGCATATAGGTGCAGCCTTGTATTGCCCAGGAGCAAAATACAGCTATTGTCCACATGTGCTAGAGGAGTAAAGAAGAAACCACTCTAAATCAATGCCAATTGGGTGACAAAAATATTCTACCAAACTCTACAGCACTAATTTAACTGAACTAAGTTGGTTTGTTGGAACTAAACTTAATGCGTTATTCCCATAAAACTGCAAAGGCCATATGATGATGGTTAAGGTTTATATGCCTTGGAGAGCAGAAATGATAATCAACAAATGGATCCTGGCCAAACATATCCCATTTGATGTGGATGAACAGTTTCCACAGGCAAACATGAGAAATATTTTCACCAATTTCTAGCAGTCTGGAAGAATGCTTAAATGAGAAGAAATGCTGAAGTAGATGAATTTGCTCTCTTGCCACTTGCCATTCACCAACAGCACATATTTGCAGGATGCTTCTCTGGGTTTTAAGATAGAAAAAAAGCTCTTCTCTAGAAAAGGGTAATCAAACCATTTAGAATTCCAATTCAACATCTCAACATTCCAATTGAACATCTTCTCTGCAATTCCTGCCCCCAGAGAGCTTTCAAGAGGGGCCAGCACTTAATACTATAAATAATACAATATGGTCTGAGCTGAGAAATACATACAGTTTGGGGGAAAACAGGAGGACAAAATTTACTCTGCTTTGAGTATTTCTCTTCCACCTTGACTCTTTTAATTAAAATTATTCAGAGGCTCAAATTCAGTTCAGAAGTGACCAAAACAAATTACTTTGCATGTTGATGGAAATAGGCTCTGGTTAAGTCTATGGGACAAGGGCTCTAAGCCTTTTCACACCAAATTCCCTTTCTGTAGGTTTCTATACATTCTTTTTCTTTTCCATACAATCTTGCTCTTTTTTTGCTCCCTATTTTTAATGTATTCTAATCACACTACAAGATTTGGAAACAATGTTTGAAGAAGAGAATTCTCTAATTCTTACCGAACCACCAAAAGCATTTTGATGACATTTTTACAGTCCCTAGGGGTTTTTAGCTTTACTTTTTAGCTTAGTATTTTTTGGCTTTTATATGATTATAATCACACTATGCACAATAATTTTGAAAATTACTTTTAAATTTGAATATATCAGGTGCCTGGGTGGCTCAGACAGTTGAGCCTCTGCCTTTGGTTCAGGTTATGATCCTGGGGTCCCAGGATTGACACCCTCATTGGGCTCCCTGCTCAGCTGGGAGCCTGCTTCTCCCTCTCCCTCTGCTGCTCATGTGCTCTCTCTCTTTTTCTCTCTCTCTCTCTGTTAAATAAATAAATAAAATCTTTAAAATAAAAAATAAACTTGAATATATCATAAGTATGTTAGTAATAGTAAATATTCTTCAAATTATGACTGCCAAATAATCCATAACTGACTATACCTTATTTGCTCAATACCCACCTATGGTTGAACAATTAACTTGTCATTTTTCTAGGGGCCATTCTGTAGAAGCTATGTGCTTGCATCATGAAGTTCCCTTCATGGGAACCGGCCAGCCTCCTCTGGGTCTTTAGCATAGCTTCTGGGCTGCTGTTTGAACTTAACTGGTGCCTCTGCTAATAGTCCATACCACCATGCTCATCAGCAGCTGCTCTAAAGTCAGAGCAGGAAAGAAACTTAAAAAAAAATTTCATCTATTTATTCATGAGAGACACACAGAGAGAGAGAGAGAGGCAAAGACATGTCCGAGGGAGAACCAGGTTCCCCACAGGGAACCTGATGTGGAACTCCATTCCAGGACCCCAGGATTATGACCTAAGCTGAAAGCAGATGCTCAACCACTGAGCCACCCAGGTGCCCCAGGAAGGAACCTTCTTGACTGTCTAGTTCAACTCTGTTTTCATCATAAATGAGCAACACTGAGCTCCCTGTGTTGGAGGCCAGTCTAGAGTCAGCACTAACACCAGGGCCCCCAGACACCTTCTTGTCCAATGCCATCTCTCCAATGTCATTAGAACATCTAAAGCTTCTAAAGGAGAAAATGAATGCCAAACTGTGGTGTTAAGGGAATCTGATCTCAATTCTACATCATTTTCACCCCAGAGAGGCATAACTCTTCCCCTCCTGCTTGTGTGTTTAATCTTTTCAAATACACTGAAAACACATCATCACCAGAACTTGAAACTATTAAATATCATCTGGGGAGACACCCCAGAAATATTTAATTTAAGGTCAAAGAATGGGCTGGCGGAGGAGAAAGGGTGGCAAGGGGAAAGCCATCATTACTTGGACACATTCCAAAGTGGTTAATTACATTCTATCTGCCAAAATTATCTTGTTACTTTAATCAGATATGGTAATAATCATCATTTCTTATCTCTGCTCACTTCAGAATTGCTGCTTCAATTACTACCACTTCTGCGTTCCACCCCCAAGGGATGGACAAAGAATGGCTTCCCTTCATTTATGTCTTCTTTAGCAGAAACCCCAAGGGATGCAAACACTTAAACTCACAGACTAGGGAAAGGGAATATGAAGAAGGAATAGATAATTCATGGAATTATCAGTTTCCTAAAAGTGGCTGTGTGGGATTCCTTTAATAACAAGCACCCCTTGTGTATTTTAAATGATTTAATTTTCCTGAATTTCATTTTATGTACTTCTTTTTTTTTAATAAATTAATTTTTATTGGTGTTCTGTGGGAAATATGTACAACTTCTAAGAACTACAATTGCTGCATTAAAATGAAGTCTACTTGTATTTGAAAATAAATGATTCAGGGGCACCTGGGTGGCTTAGTGGTTGAGCATCTGCCTTTGGCTCAGGTGGTGATCTTGGGGTCCTGGGATCGAATCCTGCACCGAGCTCCCTGCAGGGAGTCTGCTTTTCCCTCTGCCTGTCTCTGCCTCTCTCTCTGTGTCTCTCATGAATAAATAAATAAAATCTTCAAAAAAAAAAAAAGGAAAAGAAAAGAAAAGAAATGATTCAGCAGGCCAGCATTTCTGATAGGCTCCCAGGCAGGGCTCACGTCACAGTCCCACAGACCGTACTGTGAGAAGCAAGGCTTCAGCTGAGTCCATTCGGTACAGGTGGGGTCTAGATAAGGCAAGCCTCCAATGAGTCCTACTCAGTCCTACTACCAAGAAAATTGTCCTTGATACTCATCTTTCTCTATTTCAATTCAAGGCCTATTTCAGCTTTCAAAAATACAGACTGTGTCACCTGCCCCCTATTTGATCATTTTAATTTATACACCTTTCTCCATTCTTGTCACAACCATTGCATTTTCTTTTACCTTTCTTCAATGAATCATTATCTAGTATTAGAACAGGAAATTTATCAGGAAGAAGATTATGGTTGTCAAGCCTTCTTTCTGGAAGGCGATAGAAAAAATACAGTCAGGAGAAAAAAAATCTCCATCATTTCTCTACTCTTTCACCTTCATTTTCCCTCCTCAATAGGAAGTATTTTTAGAGGTTACTCTAATCACTTCTGCACAGTGGAATTGTATTAGGTTTAGAGACTAACGTGCCCCTTGCCTGTCTCTCTGGCCCCCTCCTCATTCACCCACTGATATCCATATTTAGCCACTTTATTTCATGTCAGGTGAGTCTACTCAATCAACAGTTATTTATGGAGCAAAAGCTCCAAGCAAGGCAGTGTTTTAAACCATGGGAATTATCAATAGCGAATAAAACATGCAATTATGCGTTGTCAGGTTGTGTCAAATAATGAGGAAGGAATCAGGACAAAATGTACATGTGCGAATGGGAGCCAGATTACTTGAAGTCTTGCTTCTTTTCTCTTCATAGTTTTTCTCCCCAGAGAGTTGACTTGTTCACATCTCATCATGCTGGAGACTCCCAATTCTGTACTCCCACACACTACCGGGCCCATATCTCAAACCGATCTTAGGAACACAACATGGCAAAACCACTCTAATCTCTTCTTTCTCACATCAACTCTCTTCCTTTCACTTTTCATATGTGCAATGACCCCTCCACTCTTTCACAGAGCAGGCTCTAAACCTCACCTTCTCTGCCTCCCTCACATTCTACAATCAATGGATTACCAAGATGTGTGATTATTATCTCCCAGCATTTTACAGATTTGATTTTTTCCTTCTTTTCCAAAGCTTTCATCCTCCCACAGGTTCAAAGGCCAATGGCCTCCCTTTTTTAAAAGTGATATGTTCTCATTCTTGTATTCTCTCATTCATTTTTGTTGCCTTAATGGATATTTATTATGCACTTTGTAGGTGAAATGTTTATGGCAGGTGCTGTGACAATTATAAAGAACATTAGTAGGAGGTCCTCCCACTTCAATTCTATATAATATTGTTCATGCCACAAATACATAGAACTTGATTACATACACATATTTCCTCTACAGCTTAATGTTTCATAGTGATACATAACTCCATGAATTGACCAGGGAAATATGTTTTTGTGAACCTGACTGTAATACTGCTCATAGACATGAGGAGGCCCTCACTGAAAAATAATGATGTGAGTGATGGACCAGTGTGCCCCCACAAGAACATAGCTGCTATGCTTGAAAAGCTCTGAGCCATGTTCATTTTTACCTGTGCTGACAACCATGACTAGAATGTGATCTCTGCAGTGTGCTACTCATGGCCCTGAGGATGACACAGGAAAGAGACCGAGAGTTTAATGAAACTGCACCTACAGCTATCAAAAATACCTACTACTCTTGAGGGTGTGAGCATAGTAGATGGGTGCCACCTTTTCTCTTGAAAACTTATATTTGCAATGTGACATTCGGATAAAGATGCTTTCTTAGAAATCCAAGAAGAACAGGAGAGTGGTATAGACTACATTTGACTGGACTGCAATAGCACTAGATGGTTTGTATTATTTTTGTGTTCCAAAAAGTACCCTAAGATCTCTGACAATGACCTATGGTGTTGTACTTCCTCCGCATCTCCTACTGCAAATTGCTCTAATCTACACACATCTGCTTTGATGTCATCTCTTCAGTCCAGTCCTCCTCCTGCAGGACTCCACCGACTCTAGTTTGGTTGCTCAAGAGTCTCAGTGGGCTGTGTGTGGCACTGATTTCGAGCCACCTTCATTCCTTGGACTCACCCAATCACTGCTCTCTGCTCATCTCATTCAGGTCTTTGAGAACATCTCAGATGATACTATTTCCACGCAGCCTTGCCAGTTCCTCCAGAAATCATATCTCCCTTTTCAGGCCACATATGTTCCAACTATTTGATACCCTAATTGCCACCCTTCAGGACATCATTCTCTACTATCTTTTACCCATTGGCTCCCATGCATAAGGCCAGCTCCCTCAGATTATTGCAAATAGACTGAGAACAGGGAGAAGATATTTGGGGGATCATCTTAATTGAGCTGTGATATTTTCCCTTAGCTATACAATTGGTCCTGTGTTACAATCAACAGATCAAGGTTTTTTTTTCACCTGATATTCTGTAACATCAAGGTGAATCTTGCCAATTTCTTAAAATAACGACTGGTTTTTCATAAAAGTAGTTTCATAATCTCTTCTCAAATCCTAATTTTGCATATCACACTGATAATGACAGTATATAAAAAAAATTATCAGAAATTATTTCCCAGACTACTTTCAAAACAATTACCTTTCCCAGTGGCTACACACATTAGGGTCTTCAAGATTCAGTGCTGATGCTGTCCTGCTCCAGAGGCATAATGAGAAACAGATAAAGCTCAGGCATAAGTTCAAAAAAGCAACCATTTTTTCGGAAGAAAAACCTACAAGAAAAAAAAAATCCAAATTAGAGAAGCATGAAAATGACCCAAACAGAATTCTTTTCAGTACAACATTGGGTACCATTTGTCACTAGGGTTGAACCATGCATAACAAGCCATGTGTTTAAATAGATGGGTCACCAGATTTCATGGTCCAAGAGAGAGGTATTTCTTGTGTTGTGCAGGGTGGTCACCATTTTGTAAATTACAAAAATGTGCAAATCATCATTAATTGCCACCACAAACAAAACCCCTTCTCATCCATGCCCTTCAACATTAAAGGAATCTACCCAAACAACTCAGAGCAATACAGGCTTCCAGATTCTCTCACCAGGCATATTTCCCTTCTGGAAGAAGAGGGCTCAAATCTGGCCTCATTTGTCCCAGAGGGTAAACAGTGAAACAGAAGCTCCATTGACTGAAGAGAGAGGCACCTCAAGCTCAAACTGAGATTCATTCCCTGAATCATTCAACATGCAGTGAACGCCTGCTCCATCCTGGGCACCATGCAAACAATTTAATACTCATGATATACATTTCTTATATTTAGTGCTTCAGTTTCCCCATCCGCTCAAGAGAAAACCAGCTATCTTACAGAGATTTCTTCATAAATGTAGAGGAAAAGGCATAAAGCTGTTTAGAGGTCGGTGTGAGAGAAAATCAACCTGGTATTATGGAGAAGAAGAAAGAATACAAGAGAAAAACAAATAGCAACATATTTGCAAAAGAGGTCCCCAAAGGAGATACAGGAAGAGAAAGGTGTATATTCCTTGCAGAGGGAACCAGAGGGGAAGGAGAGTCTTACACATTTTAGGGAGCTCAAATTAATTCAGCCATGAAAGAGACAGGGGCATATCACAAAGGGTTTTATACACCATTGCAAAGTTCGTGAACTTTGCTGGGGGATAACGCAGACCTTGCAGGGAGGAAGTGAGCAAATCTGAGAGGCTTTTAGGACTTAAAATGAATAGAACTTGGGGACTGAATGTGGAAACAATAGAGAGGAGTGCTCCCCGGCATAGGCTCATTGGGTGGATGGTGTGCCCCTCACTAAGATGGGAAGCACAGACACCCTCCCCTTCTGGAAGGAAGAAGCATTAGTTCAGTTTCAGATGTGTCAAGTCGGAGGTTCCCAGGAGATACATGAAGTCATCTGCAGGCATTTATTGAACACCTACTGTGTGCCAGGCACCCACCAGCTCAGGTGTGTAACAGCAGGACCCAGACCTTATGCCCACCTCCTCACCACCAGGAACTCATCACTTAGTAAGAAGGAAACGTTTCATTGTCACACTTACATAAAATGATTTTATATAATTGTTACAAAATTGGACGTGGAACTATAAATAGCTGACCCATCTACTAATTAAAAAGGAGAATAACTATCTGCCTATTAGTAAACTAGGGAAACTAGTAACAATTGGCCAGGTTATGTGACTGAAGCAGTTATCTTCTGGGTGACGGCTGGTGTTTTGAGAAGTTATACTAATTTCCTTCACTACCAGGTGGAGAAGCAAATGGAAGCAAAATTTATTGGATTATTATCCTTATGGTTTAAAAAGGTAAGTTTATTGGGGTACTTGGCTGGTTCAGTTGGTAGAGCATGAGACTCTTTAAAAAAAAAGATTTGTTTACTTATATGAGCAAAAGAAAGTATGCATGTGGCGGGAGAGGAGCAGAGGGAGAGAATCTCAAGCAAACTCCCTGCTAGGCACAGAACCCTTTGAGAGCCTCAATCTCAGGATTCTGAGATCATGATCTGAGCTGAAACCAAGAGTCAAACATTCAACCAACTGAGCCACCCAGGTACCTCAGATTGTGGGACTCTTGATCTGAGGGTTGTGAGTTCAAGCCCCATGTTGTTTGTAGAGATTACTTAAAGGGGGGGGTAGTTTATCTTCAAACAAACAATAAACAACCACAGCAGCAAAAATCAAACCTTAGGAAATAGTTTATCCTTCAAATTCAAGAGAACAGATCAAGTGAGGAAGTACTCAATCCTTAAATCCTTAAATCAAGGCTGTTTCTAATTGTATCAAGTGTATAATGACAAGTCATCTATCTCTAACTGCACAAAGGCTAAAACAAAAGAAAATATTTGACCTAAAATAAGGAAATAATATCATGAATTTGTAGGATAATTAAAAGATACCGTAAGCCACTATAAAAGGTTATGGAATTTTTAAAAACGGGAATTTCCATCATCACAAAATATATTCTAACATAGGAAGCATAAATGGGTAGCCAAAACAGGGCTTATAAATTGATTTGAATTATTGGTGTCTGTCATGAAGTCGTAAAATCTGAAGCTCAACATTATATAACTAAAGAAGCTATTCCATTTAATAGGAATGACTAACAGTGATGATGACAGGCAATAATTTCCTGACCAGTTGCTGGGTGCCAGGCACAGTGCGGAGCCCTTCATGTGTGTGTCTGTCCAACCCTTACTGTTATTCATCTAAGAAAAAGGTGTTTTTACGATCCCCATTTCACAGTTGAAGACATGTAATATACTGCTAATGTTTTCTTCATTCGTCAAAAAAAGAAAACCTCTAATATACCCAGTTGTAACAAGCATGGCAAATATCTCTGTCTGATTGCTCTATCTATGGCAGGATAAGTGTTTTGTTTCAGTGAAGTGTGAAATATGTATATTAACTTTCATTCTTTCCTCAAAGACAAAATGAGTGCTAGTCAGCAGTAATCTGCCATCTACTTACCAACAATTACCCCAAATTGGAAAGTTGTATCGTGAGTCACCATCTTAGACTCAAACCATCCATTTTCCAATTAGCAATGTTTAGTCTGTAAAGTTAGAAATTGCTGCAAGTAATGAATCAAACTGCCAAGAAAAAGAAAAAGGCTGTGTATTTTCTTTTAATGCAAATATGTTAACACTAATCCTTCGGTAGCTCTTTTTGCTTTGCAGTTGATATGAGGCTCTATGAAGGCTCTCACCTCTCTATGGAGATGGCAGAGGGAAAAAAAAAAGCAAAATTTGGTCACCTCCCCTTTGCTTTTGAAATTTGGCATACCGAAAAATCTAAGTGCATTGCCAAGTTGCTAGAGGTGTTTGCAGAAGTTTCCCTTCTGCAAACTATAAGGACATTTTTTAAATGTATAACACACACACACACACACACACACACACACACGTATGTTAGTTGGTCTCACTTCCAAAGGATTTTCTGAATTAAAATCAGAAAATTAACTGAGTTCTAGTATCATCTACACTAAAGTAAAAAACATCAAAAGCAAAAAGAACTGCTAGATCTAGATGCAGGGATCATGCAAACTCACATAAACAGGTTAAAACCATTTGAGAAAATAATTCAAATGTTATATACAGTGGGGGGAGAGGACATTTCACCGAGATGCCAACAAGCTGTAAAAAAAAAAAAAAAAAAAAAAAAAAAAAGAGCTACAGAAATACAACATTTCATTATATTCAGAAACAGATGCTCCCTCCTTTTGTTCTGCCTTCTTGAATAAAAGGCACTGAGAGACACAACCCAAAACAGAAGCAGATAGAGCATTACACATACGCTTTCCCTGTTTCATTTGTTTTCTTCTACAGGTTTTGATGAGTAAATGTGAGTATATTTTTTTTCCTTTATATCTACCCTGGAGGAAGAAAGTTCAATACTTTTTTTCCCTTCATTTCTCTCTTTTAAACTGTGCCATCTTGTCTGACACTATAATCTTCCACTTTGGAGCACAAATGAAAACAAAACACAACCTTTAAAAAATAGAAGTATTTCAAATGAAAAAAAAAAAAGAAACAACACAGTGGGGATTTGCTTCATTAAAATAGACATTTGGAAAATACTCAAAACTCTAAATTAAGAGTTCTGCTACCCCCACCCACTCAGTCTCCATCTTCAAATAACTTTCCTTATGGTTCCATTTAACAAAATTTAAAATGTTAAAAAAAAAGGCGGGGGGGGGGGGGGAGAGTCATTTGCATGAACCCCCTAGTGCCAAACTTGATTGCATTCCATATCATTCACTTAATTATTATGGAAAAATCAAAACAGAAAATCAGTACAACTGATTAGCATTGCTAAAGTGCTCCGATTAGAAAAAAGAAACACAGCAGGTAGAATTAACTCTTGCTGCCTACTAGGAAGGCAGGCTTTGCTTATTCTCACAAAAATCTCAATAAATAATCAGGTTGACTACAACCTTACAATGGATGAATCTGGGTTCTGATGATAGGGAGTAGTTTATCAGTGTATTAGGGAGAAATAAATAATGGGGCGTTGACTTGCTAATTTATTTTTGCAGCAACAGAGGAATAAATGATGCCAGACAAACCTTTGTGTCTCTAAAATCTATTTCCTTGGTAGAATAATTTAAGTGCATGCACAGAAATAACTTGGGTGCCCTCATCCAGTTTTTCTCAAGCTGATTTCCCTAAAATCATCTAACAGTTTTCTACCTGAAAATAAATTTCATGATTAAGAATAGTCACATTTTCACAATCCCCACCCCCTCTCTGGGGACCAAAAGCCACCAATTTTTACTTGATCACTCCATCATGTTATCTGTAAATGATGTACTAGCTTTTCCTCAGAAAAAGGCTTTTCCATCCAAATGGGCCAGAAGGTAGCATGCTGAGTTCTTCCTAGAGCTTAATGCCAATGAGTATCAAAGTATCCTAGAGTATCAAAGCTCCAGATCCAGAGTATTAAAGGTGTCAAAAGAGTAATGCTTACTCATGGGACTCTTGATCTCAGTGTCATTAGTTCAAGCCCCACATTAGGGGTAGAGCTTACTTTAGCAAACAAACAAACAAATAATAATGCTTACTAGTTGTCCTGAAAACTACCCCAGATGACAATTTCAATAGAAATACTATTTTGCAGATAAAACAAATCCAGGAGGCACTGCTGTGATTTCTGTTTTCACTGTCCAAAGCTAGTTATTCTAACAGCATATTTTTTTAAAGATTTTATTTATTTATTCATGAGAGACACACACAGCAAGAGAGGCAGAGA